GCCTGGATTCATTCCCACCAAAGGGGCTGGACAATTCAGGAGAATTGCGCTCCCAAAGGAAGCACTTTCTGTTCTGTCCCGGATCTCGCAAGCTAGGGAGCTCACTCAGGCCAAACTCTACCTTGGCCGTTATAGCACTGATATATAAACTGCGAACCACAGCACTAGGAGGCCATGGAAAGGTCTTAGAAAGTCTTCTTGGAGGCTAGCTCAGTGGTAGGTAGTTTGCCTAGCATGTATGGGGCACAGGGTTGAATCCCCAGCAGCACCCCCCAATAGATACACACACACACAAAGGTGGGAAAGAAAGACAGAGATCAAGATCTTCCCTAAGTGCAGTTTACAGCTCTATTATAAATTACCTAATAGTTTTTTGGCTCCCGACTCATTTTTGCTATTTCTTTGAGATTTTGGGTGCTGAGGACTGAATCCAGGGCCCCTTGCCTAAGAATGCGCTCAACCACTTAGCTAAATCCACAGATCCCCAACTTACTATCTTTACTTCCTAATTAAAAACAAAGTTTAGAAGCATTTTCACAACTCAAGACTATTAAAATTTAGAAATCAAGGTCAGAAGAATCCACTCTATGGCCATGAAGCATTCCAAACCACTTCTCTAAAACTAGGAAATCAATACCCACAAAGACAAGCTTCAAGGCTAACATGAACACCTGAGAAAGTCCTTAAGTTAAGTTAGTCATTTTCATTAGTATCTTTGAAGTAAAGTAACTCTGGAGCTGAGGATGTGGGTTGGGGTACCACGCTTGCCTAGCATGTATGGGTCCTACATTTGATTCCCAGCACCTCAAAAAAAAAAAAAAAAAAAGGAAAAAACCTCAAAGAGATCCTTGTCTCTTCTGCCTCCAAAATTTTAAAGCACTATTGATATGCAGAAAAACAAAATAAATTATTTAAAGTGCCACCTCACAATCATGCAAAGATGTCCTTAAGCACTGTTTTCATCCAACATAAATTCAAGACTGGCTCGGCCTACAATGTGAAGGCCAAATTCAGTTATCCTATCCACAAGCCCAGCTTCCCACCGCTTACAAAAAAAGGAAGCCAGTCACCCCCTGGTCCCAGATAGCTGATCACCTCAGCAAGCACACTAGATGAAACTATAGGCCGCTTCTTTTTCTCAAATAATGATAAGCATGAAAATAATCAAATTTTAAAGACACAGAAAGCTTTGTCTAAGTGCCACTGAAAGTTCTGCTTCTAAATGTGACAACTCTAATCACAACGTATCACTTACATTATCATATTTTTCTAAATGGCTGCTACAAGGTCAATCATCTAGAAAAAGTCTAGATCCAAAGTATTCTACAACTTTATGTAATACACTAGTGTGTAATACACACATACACACAATTCACAGAAAGACATAGATCGCCAGGTAGTGCATGCTTCATGCCTGTAATCCCAGCACTCAGGAGGCTGAGACAAGAGAATCACAAAGTTTGAGGACAGCTAAGGCTATGTACAATAGTGACTTCAAGGTCCCCTGAACTACACAGCAAGACCCTGTCTCAAAGAAAAATACACAGGTCATAGGCTAGGTGCCTCAGAATCTGTTTAATGACAAGTGAACAAAAGCCCTGCTGTAGAATACAGAAGAATGTATAATCAACTGCTACAGGCAACCACTGCTCGGCACTCCACAGCTGCCCCTTCTCTTAGGCTCTGAAGATCTATTCCCTACAGGCAGCACGTGCCTCTGTCCATGATCCTCTTCAGCAAACAGACCAAATGGCACATGCTCTATTCAGCCTGTTAACTTCTGAGAGTGCTCTTCACCCACTGCACTTGGGAGTTTCTCCTCTTAAGAGACAACAAGCTTTTTAAAAAGCAGTTTTCCACAGCAATTTCTTGGGTTTTTTTTTTTCCCTTCCTCCATACAACTTGGTCCAGATTCATGGACCGGCTGATAAAAGCACCAAGCTGTAGGTCATGACAAGCAGAGAACAATACAGCGATCCGATCCAGGAAACGTTCTAGACGGTAAGCAAGGGGAATGGCAGGCTTCTAATCGTCTATGGTTAATGTCAGTGGCCATAAGGCAGCCACAGAAAGGAACTCTGCACATCTGCTTTTCTCTAGGGACCTGAAAGACAATCCTGTAACATGTCTGAGTTTCAATTACACAACACTAGTGCTCACGGTTCTAAAGCCCTTACCATCGGCATCCACTTCATTGATCATATCCTGCAGCTCAGCTTCTGTTGGGTTTTGACCCAGTGACCTCATGACAGTTCCTAATTCCTTTGTTGTGATGGTGCCATCACCATCTTTATCAAATAGGGAGAAAGCTTCCTTGAATTCTGCAAAATAAAAAGTTCATTTTAGTAGCAAGGTTCTTGTCCAACTCAGCCACAATACACATTTCTCCAGGGTTTGCCAAAGCAAGCTGTCCAAGCTGTGGAAGTTATCACAAACTACCTGCTCTTTATCAACTGAAATAAGGACCACAAGCATCCTGTCAGTGTGGCCTTCAAATTGTAGCCCATGAAGCAAGCACTCCTCTTAGTAGCCAGCTCATCATTATGGTAGATGCCCATAATCCCTCCACTCTGGGAGACTGAGGCAGAAGAACCACAAGCTTCAGTCCAGGACGTGCAACTTTGCTAAGAACAAACCCTGGTCTTAAAAATAAGTACATATTTTTAAAAAAAAAAAAAAACACGTTTTTTAAGAAGGCTAAGCTTCAACACGCTTAAATTCAACCTGGCATGAGATTGGTCCATATGCAACTTTAAAGTCTCTTCAAATTTCTGTTAAACTTCTACACCCATAATACTTGTCCACTACTAAACCACATGAAAAGGTTACTAGATATGTACATTCCCAGGTAACCAGCATGTTCTACACGTCAGAATATTTCAGAAGCATTTCTGATTTCCTAAGGAGAAATCATCTCAAAATAAGTCTTCCGGACAGAGGATACAGCTCATTGGAACAGAAGACTGCCTGGCAAGCACAGGTTTGGAGTTCAATTTCCAATTAAAAAAATAAAAATAAAAAAACCCTAGTAAGTCTTCCAAGAAATATTAAAAGGCTAAAATTCAGTCACGTTAAGTGGCACCTGTCTGTAATCCTAGCACTCTAGGAGACAAAGTCAAGGAACTCATCGAAGTTTGAACTCAGCTTAGATAACTCGGTTAGGCTTTCAAAAAAAGAAAGCTAGTGTATCTCACATTTCCCAATTAATTTTGTATTCTTAAAATTTATTTTGGGGCCAGGGAGATAGCTCAGTAGAACAAGCGCTTGCCTGGCAAAACACAATGGCCTGAGTTCAATCCCCAGTTTATAAAAAAAAAAAATTTACCCACTCCCATTTATTTTAAAGCTTTCACGATGGATTACTAAAATCCTTACAGTGAACTATAAACTCATTTTCTGAGTAGCAGGCTCAGAGCAATCTCACTAAATGCAAAGCTGCACGCATGGTGAGGCACAGACCAAGTGGCCATCCTTAGTTTCACTTCCTTCCACATCTTCTCTAGAAGACTGGCCGGGAGTAAAGCCTAAATGTTTCTACTTACTTTTATTTAAATAAATTGTTAGAAAACTGCTTAGAAAAAGAAGCCACGAAAACTGAGTGCGAGCCTAGCCCCAGCCTTCTGGGGCCTGCCCAGAGTCAACTTACCAGCAATCTGCTCTTCAGTCAGCTGATCAGCCTACACGAAGAAAGAAAAGGTTATAATTCAATCCACAACAGTTTGCTTAGTATCCTTTTTCCAATTTGGTTTTTCATGCTATAATCTTTCCAAATTCAGTCTCCAGGCATGGTTCATGTCTCTAGTCTCAGCCAGTCAAGAGCATCACTTGAGCCCAGTTGTTCCAGATCAACCTGGACAACATAATCAGAATCCATTTTTTTTTTTTTAAAGGCAGTCTTAGAAGCCAATCCTTTGAAGTCATTAGCACTGTCACTGATGAAAAGTAATTAAAATACAGAACACCAAATGTGCTATTTTAACACCTAAGAAAGACAGGGAAACGACACATGCTTGCTCCAAACACGTTATTTTTCCTCTGGCCCCCTGCTTGCGGCCAGCTGGGACTGAGATCAGACTAGGGTCAGTTCATCATGTAAAGAATGGCACCTCTAGCGGCAAAAGGCCCACAGAATCGGCTGCAGATGCCGAGAGCGAGCGCCACCTATTGCGCCACGGACACTGCAGTCCTGCTTCTACCCGCGGACCCAGCCCAGCGCTGCTGCGGCCAGGATCAGGATCTGGTCCAGGGGCAGGCTTTTAGCGCACCTTGCGCATTGCTTCAGGCCCTCAAAATCTCCAAACTGTCGTTACGTAATAGCATTGGGTTGGATTAACGGGCTTTTACATCCATTTTATGAGAAACAAGTGGAAAAGAACAAGTATATAGCACTGAGCTACCCCCACAGGCTTCATTTCCACGTAGTAAGTGCACTGCAATCATTTAAATCAGGCAGTTACAGTATTTGTTAAAAAAAAAAAAGAAACCCTACTATTTACAATAGCTAAGGTCTTCAGTCAAATGATCTCATGATTCAGAAGCCAGGATTAAAAATCTTACAACAGTAGTGTTACAAAACTGCAAAAATTAAGTGAACAGAAAACTACATGATGATTATGAGACCGTATCCCTTTAAGTGCATAATCACCAAATTTTCCGGCATTTACACCCTAAGTCTCATGTGTTGACAATAAAAGTTTATTTAAAGTGACAAAGGCCACCAGGGTAATTGTCTCCTGCACTTTTTGGTCTGAAACACTGAACCTATTCCTCCAACTAGGGGAACTGAGATCTCAAGGAAAGCTAAAATACACTTTTATTTAAATGAAAGTTGACTAGCTACAAAATAAGCCCTAAACAAAAGCTGATGTTAAAGTTTATTCTGTTCTGTAGAAACTTTCACAGTAGCAATGTTGTCCCAATATATTTTTGATATGGGGACTTATTTTTTACAAATTCGTTTTTTCTACCCCACTCACTAAAAACTACTTTTCTTTAAATCAAACAAAAAGAGACCCGATGATTTATGTAATGCCAGGGCAAAGCCGAAATGTTTCGCTCAACAGGAAGCACTGCCACACCTCACAGGAGAAACCATCACCTTACTAATAAGAACAGTCCCATCTCCCCCCGAAAGAAACTTGGCATCAAAGGGTTATTCCCAACATCCACGTTCCAGATAACGAAATCCCCTTCCTCAGATCACGCTGGACTTTGGGGAAGAGGCCCTGCTCCAGAATCCTGCCGGAACCACCACCCTACTCCACCAAGCCCGAAAATGTTGCCAGTGATGTCAGCGCTGCCCGCCGAGGAGGAAGGGAGCCGTGGAAAACACACCCAGCGAGGCGCGCGGGTGCATCTAGCAACCCACAGGCTGCAGAGAAAGCGGAAACGAGGAGGGCATCTCTCTTAGGAGGGGGAAGTGACACCGGGCGAGAGAAACGCCGGGCGAGAGGCCGCCCCAGGGCGCGAGCTTCCGAGCAGGCTAGGGCGCCGCCCTTCCCCAGCCCGGGCGACCCCCACTCCCGCACCTCCCACCCACTTCTGCTCCCCCAGGCGGCGACCGCCGCGCCGCCGCCACCTCCTCTTCCTCCTCCCCAGCAGAAACTTCGCGTCTCTAATGGAAACCGAGCCGCGCGCCAGCTGCCCCCCCTCCGCCCCAATTAGCGCGAGCCGAGCGCCTCCCGCGGGAAGCGCCTGCGGGTGTCCCGGTCCTCTCGCACCTCCGCCGCGGCACGCGCGGGGCACAGCAGGGCGCGACCTGAAGACGCGCGCCCGGGCCACACCGCTGGGCCCCGCCCGGCCGCCCGACCGGCCGCTTCCGCCCTCTCCGCCCCCAACCTCTGGCCTTCCTGCCCCCACCCCACCCAACCCCGGCTCCTTCCTCCCCAGCCCGCGCCCGCGCCGCGCCCCCCGGGAGGAAGGAGGGGACAGCGGCGGAGGGGGAACGCCTAGCTGGGCCAACGGTGGGAGGGCATCAGCCGCAGGCGGCGCCCCGAACCCCCCGGCCCCAGCAATGTGCGCCACCGGCTCGCTCCGGCCCATTCATTCTTCTCGGCCCGCCCGCCCCGCCACCTTCAAGGCCGGGTAGAAACGGGGGCGCGCGTGTGCCGTGCCTCGCCCCGCCCGGCTCCCTCGCCTCCCGGGGCCCGAGCCGAAGCGCAGCGCTGCGGGCAGCCCGGTGCGGCGCGCTGGATGCAGTGGCTGAGGGGCTGGGGGAGGGAGGTAATGCGGAAGGCCCGAGCACAGCCGCGGCCACGGCCCGCTCCAAGGGGGACCAACGTTTTAAAGGCTCTCCGGCAAAGAAACCCAAATGCGAGTCAAATGCATTATTTCTAACCGAAGCTGCTGCGTAACGCCTAGCAAAGAGAACCCCATCGCCACCAGAAAGAGAGAAAAAAAAAAAAAATCGAAGACTGAACTAAAAATCTGGAAAGAAATCTTGGGCAGCTGCTACGCCGGCGTTGGCCGCTCCCGACCTACCATGGTGCGAGCGAAGGGAGGAAGAGCAGAGCGAGCGAGGGTGGATGCACCAGCGCAAGGGCTGTGACGGCAGGGGTGCCTCGGCTTCAGCCGCTGCTAAGGCGCGGTGTGCGCTCGGAGATGTGCCGCCGCCGCCGCCCGCGCCGCCACCCGACTGCGAGTAACGGCACCGCGCACACGAGACTCCCGGCACCTCTGTCGGAGCGCGCGGCTGAGCGCCGCGATTTATATATGGCGCGCCGTATCCCTCCGCCGCGGCGGGGCCGCCCCGCGCAGGGCGGTGCTGCGGTCGCCGGGCCTCGCCGCGTGGCCCCGCCCCCGGCCCGCCTCAGCCCCCTGCGGGTCGCCGCGGCAGCCCCGCGCGGAGGCAGGCCCTGGAAGAACTCGGGGAGGGGCGCTGTCGCCAGACAGGTGCAGCCTGAAGTCCTCCAGAGCCGCCCAGCCCGGCCGGGCGAGGCCGAACACCTGCTTCGCCCAACCTGTGGGCGGCCCAAGGCCACCGGCCGTGCCCCCGCCCCGCCCCACCCCACCCCGCCCCGCCTGGTGACCCGGCCCACCTGCGTCTCCCCGGCCACCGCGGGTCGCGCTGGGCCCTCCCTTTTCGGTTCCCGTCGGAGAGGCTGCGGTGGCGCAGGGGCCGGGCCGGCGCGGGGAGGGAGGGAGGCAGGCGCAGAGGACCTGGCCGCGTCCCTTCGGCTCCCTGCCGAGGAGAGGGGTCTGCAGGGGACAGGTAGCTGGCTTCCTCGAAGAAGCTAGATGCGTGTTTTGCTTTTCAGACTCCGGAGAACTCTCCGAGACATATTGCATAGGCTCGGTTGCTAAATCCGTGTCATATTCATGTGCTTAACCAATCTGAATGTCTTTACATTTTTCCACTTAATAATTTTTTAGGATACCTGAATATTTCTCCCTTACTGTTTCGTTCTCTTTTTCCTATGACAAATACTATCTCCTGGTTCCACTGTTAACTATAATTAGTGCAGCTTCTGTAGTCCTTGATACCTGTGCTTTAAATTTGTTTTAATTTCAGTGAACCTGGGAGCAATCCAAATCTTTATTAGTAAGTCCATGGAAACAAAGAAGAGATACTTAGAATCCCCTAAACTAGCTTAAAGACACAATCGATTGTCTCTAGTATGGAGCTAGACTGTATTATATTATTTTTTTAAAAAATTTTAATGTTTCAATTTACTACTGTTGGTTTTCTGTTTGAAGCCCAGGACTTGAAAGATCTTGATACAAATGCTGCAGTTTCTTTTCTTGCCAAGACAGAGCGCAGAACTTCATCTTTTGTTTACAGGGCCAGGGCAAGTTGCAGGTTATCGTTTGATTATTCTTTCAGAGCCTGGCAAAGCGTGACTTCACGTGCTGCGCCAGAAAAGGCTTCGCTGGGTCCTCGCTTTGACCAAGTCTGGAGAAAGATGTTTTAAAAGAATAAAAAATGTCCAGACACATTGCAAACGCCACAACACTTTTTGGGATAACCTCAGACAAGATGTCAGCATCTGCGGAACTGCATGTGCTGATGTTCCTTCTGGAAGGCCGCAGAAAGGGTGAGCCTCCTGTTAATTTAGCGATGGGCTGCAGGAGCAAGCCAGGGAATGATGCTGCTTTTCCTCTGCAGATTAGAAAGACTGTATTCATAATCCTACCCCCACAAGATAGTATTTCTGTGCTCTAGAAAAAAAAAAAAAAAAGAGGGACTAATACAATGTCAATTTAAAAGATACTAGTCTAAGGGACCAAACTCATTAAAACTGCATTATTCCTAAAAAAATTTGTATTCTTTCTATCAGGCTTTTCACAGAGTAGTTAGCTAAATGCTTTTTAAAACATAGTATACAGGGCTGGGGATATAGTTGAGTGGCACAGTACCTGCCTAGCAAGCTCAGGGTCCTAAGTTTGATTCCTGGTACCAAAAAAAAAAGAGTAAAAATAGTATGCATTGTGTAAGAGGAAAATAATGGCTTAGAAATGAAATGTGATAATTATTGAAAAATCCAACAGTTTGTAACAGTCTTTCTTATGATTATTTTGGTTAAATTACTACATTTTCTGGTTTTTAAAACCAGTCATTCTCTACAAGTTTTCCTGTCATTTAACCTTATTTTATCCAAATAAAATGCTTTGAAACTATTTCAGGACTTTAGTTGTGAAAAGAAACTATATATTTCAGAGTTATCTTATTTATAGTAAAATTTCTTTTCAAGACTTCATGTTTTATGGACTAGGGTTCTCTTTTGACGATTCTTTAACATCTCAAGCACATCTTAGCTTTCAAGTCTGGTGGTTTGTAATGAGGTCGTGCTTTACACAGTTTCATGGCTACTTTGACACTGAAACATAAGAAGGTCAAGTGACTTGCCCAAGATCTTACTGTGAGTCAGTGATGAGGTATAAACAGCCTGAATTCTTGCTCGGGAACTCTAATATTAGATTATATATTATTGAAATCAGTATCTGAAAAATTGTAAAGGTACAATGTTACAGATTTGTCTGTTCCATATAGCAGATTCTTTTGACTGCTTAAGAGCGTACTAGGACTTCATTATCAAATAGACTCCTTTAAGTGAATAAACTTCCTAATTAATGAAGAAATCAGAGATTAGAAAAATAAGCCACATTATGGTAATGTAATTGAGTGAAATCCAAAAAGTCTATGGAACATTCCATTATACTTAGAGGAAATGGTTCTATATGAAATTATGTAAATCAAATAATACTTAATAGAAGGAATGTAGAAAGAATGCAGCCCCAAGCTAGGATTCTCAGCACTGAATACTGTTTCTGTCTCCAACCAGATCATTCCACTGCTCTGAGAGTGACAGAAAGAGCACAAATATGATAATTGTACATGGCCACGGGCAAAATAGGAGGTTTGAGCAGGGTCCTGAGTTCAGTCCTGGTACCACCACAAAAAAAAGTCTGAACTTGATCTATGTAAATATGTATGTGTGTCCTACGTACATCTGTCCTTTCAGCTGTGCAAATATGTATATATGTCCTATATGTATGTCATATATGTGATAACCACACGCACACACACACACACATGATAGATAGATAGACAGATAGATGAAGAGGACAAATGGAGAAATGGAAACAGTTTAAAAATGATATTTACCAAGTGTTGACTGTGGCCAGACCCTGGGCTAAATGTATTATTTCATCCTCCTACCCATCCTGTGAAGCAGGAACTATTTTCAGGAAACTGAGTGGCTTGCCTCATTTTAGGGGTAGAACCCCAAAAATCCAATTGATGTCTTTTTTTTTTTCAGTGCCAGAGATTGAACTTAGAGCCTTGTGCTTGCCAGGCAAGCACTTATGCTACTGAGCTATCTCTCTGACCCTCAAAAATCCAAACGAGAGCCCAAACCCTTAAGTATTAAAGCATAACTATCTCTTACAATTTAACAGGACCTATTTTTAACTTAATTGAAGGGAGAGGAGAGGCCCAAAGGTTAAAATAAAAAATAAAATTATTTTTTAGATAGTTTCTTCTTAGCCAAGAAATGTAGTGATGTCTCTGGCTCCCACAAACAACAGTATTTGTGCAAGAAAATCCCAAGCAAAACATTTACTTTGCACTGTGTTCTCACTGTAGGACAATGCTCATTTGCCACTGAGGCCAACAGAATTAGTAAGGATATTTGCTCACTGACACACAGCCTGTACCCTATACTTTCATCAAAGGGATGACCAATTGCATCCTAATCCTGGCTCTGTTCCTTAGACCATGTTACCAGGAATGGTATTTTAAACTTGCTTTTTATAAATTTATCTCTGAAGCAAATCTTGATTTTTTAAGACATCAATTAATACAAAATGGCCCTAACTTCCATTGAAATATAGTCAGAGAAGATATTTGCATATTTAAATCTGTCTTAGAAAAAGGCTATTTAAATATTTGTTGTACCCCACATTTTTATTAGGCATTATGAATATGGCAGAATCCTTTCATGGAGCTTACATTCTTTGGAGAAAATGATTCTGGGTGTGTGTGTGTGTGTGTGTGTGTGTGTGCTTGTGTGTGTGTGTTGAGAGAGAGAGAGAAATGGTTGGTTTGATGACATGTAACCAGACAAAAGCTGGGTCTGGTGGCACACGTTTGTAATCCTAGCACTCTGGGAGACTGAGGTGGGAGGAGTGAAAGTTCCAGCCCAGCCCTGGCAATTTAGATACTTAGTGAAAACTTGTCCCAAAATTAAAACAGAAAAGAAAAGGCTTAGGGACACAGCTCAGTGCAAAAGCCCTAACTTCACTCCCAAATACTGAGGAAAAGGGGGGAAATCCATTCAAAGTGTATAACTATAGTCAATTGTATCTTTGTGGTTGGATTTCACTTGAAAGATCTGTGTCAAGAAATGTGTAACCTAAACTGCCATCCATGTCTTAAACTATCAAAGGAAAATATCTTCTCTCTTACCTCTCTACCATCCTAAGTCCTTCCTTCTCCACCCAGTGATCCAGTAGTTCTTTGATGGATACTTTTGGGATTATTATATCACTGTCTCTAATCACATAAGTGTATGTATTCTTGCTGTTTGTATGTAGATTTAACGTCATTAAATTTTTGCAGGGTTTCCATGAAAAACTTTATCATCTCTATCAACAAAATACTTCATTACTTTTTCTTTCTTTTCTTTTTTTTTTTTTTTCTTTTTTTTTTTTTTTTTTTTTTTTTTTTTGTGGTGCCAGGGATTGAACTCAGGACCCTGAGCTTGCCAGGCAAGCACTTATTCTACTGAGCTATCTCCCCAGTCATTATCTTTTCATTTAAAATTGTGCTATTTTCTTAATTTGTGTTAGTGTTATGACCGAATTTTACAAGTAAGTCATGGAAGGAACATTCATAGATTACATTTAAATTTGAAAGTATGCTACCATAAGAACACAATAGGGCCAGCCAAATACCTCAGCGGATTAAAGTGCCTGCAAGTAGGCTCTGGGGCCTGGGGTTCGATCACTGGGCCTGCTGTGCCAGCCCTGCCCCCCTGGGTATGCTGAGATGGGGATTGAGGCTGGGCCTGGTGGCACACGCCTGTAATCCCAGCACTTGGGAGGCTGTAAACAGGAAGATCACTACGAGTCCGATCTAGTAGTGAGACCCTGAACACTCGGTAGACCCTTCCCTAAAATACAGAAGAAAAAACAAAACAAAACAATAAACAAGTGATAGGCATGCTTATTTACCAGGAGAAAAACATGATCAGTTTT